GGTAAAAATTGTAACAGTGAAGGCGTCATACCAGGATATAGGAAATGTGAATAGTCCAAAGCAGAAGGTTTAGCACACTTTTGGTCAAAGAATCGGCTTCACTTGTCTCCTTGACGAGTTGTTGTATGGTGCTAAGAATGGCAAGACTCACTGACTATGCCAGCGAAACGTCTGGGAATGTACCACGTCCACGGTCCTACTCTGTAAATGATCATGCATACAATGAACTCCGTACTATGTGCGTTTCTCTAAGTCCTTCTACTAATATGACCAAGTTGCGAAAGCAAGGTCAAAAAACTTCTATTATTTATTATGTTTCCAAAATTCGCAAACCATTTACTTTAGAATCTCATGGAGCGAAAATAATGTAATGTCTGATCCCCTCTTCACCACACCTTTCTATGTTTCTTTAATATAGTTTTTCTTTATACTCTCTTCATCTACATCTTCTTACCAGTGCCATTCGCTTACAACCTCATCCTCACTCTCTTCCCTTTCCTGTAGAGAATCTTATGGAATGAGGGAAGAACTCTACTTCACCTTTTTTATAGATAGATAAAACTCTCCTACTTTGTATTAATTTTTTTTAACTGAGTAGAGGAGCGTTGCAAATTATGTTCAGCTGCAACTTGTCGGCATCTCCTATTTATATTAAAGCGATTCAAAACGCCCCACAATCTGATTATTAAAAGGGATACTATGTGATTTCCTGCCGCAATTTCATTACTTTTTTCCACACAAAAAATCACACTATCCTTCTTTTTTGAGAATGAGCCAATTTGGCCTCTTCTCTGCAATAAAATAAAATTTACAATTATCATCCAATATTTCTGCTCTTATTTCAATTCCTTTTTAGATGAAACGTTTTTCGGAGTCTTTTTTCTGTCAGGAGCTCTCAATGGCACATCTACTGGCCGTCTACAATTCTGTGTGAGTAGTTTTTCTTGACCTTAGAGAATACTTTCTTTCTTCTAAACCTAAAGTAAATTCTTTTCTAGCTGCACTTTGGAGGACGTTTTTCTGAAAAATTGTACCTGAGACATGCTTTCCTTAAGCACAAGGTTCATTTGGACTCTTGTCTATCATTTTTATACAATGCTCTTCTTTTCTGAGACTTTTCCTCAGTTTTACTTTGACCATATGTTGTATTCTGAGGAATACCGGGTGTAGCCATATTCTCTGAGCCTAATATCAAGAGTCTGTTATGCATGCATCTTTCTGCTTCTCCTGTGGTTAATTAGAGGCCTCTTGTGCGACTTTATGTCATCAGATGCATACTCTTATAATTTCTGATATAAGTAGGTCTTGAGACCATAAATAAGTATTGGATAAGAGGTTTAATGGCCTTCAGGTATTGCCTATTTGTCTTGGCACACAAGCACTATACGAGCATAGCACTGAGCATTTTTTAGCTATTGATGTTGAAGGCCTCTAAAAATTAAAGCTTCTTCGTTGTCCTGATGCAATTCGACCTATCTGTATTGCAGATGAGAGCCTATTAGATCTTCTTAAGAGATTTTCCAGTGTGAAATCTTGACTAAAGCTTTAGATAATGGTCAAATACAAGGAACTCTGTAGTATTCACCTTATATGATGAGCGTAGCATTCATGCCACTTGGCTGTAAGTTCCCAATATAACATATTTCGCGATAAACATTCATTTGAGTCAGTTTACTTTATTTAGACAACATTCGCCTTTGGCCCGATATTATTCCATTTTTGTGTGTATTTATATTTCATGTTTACATCAATCAAGCAGAAGTATAGATAGTGGCCAGCGTACAGCAGTGAAATCGTATATACTAGCCATATGTGATATACTGGTTGGGCTCAAATCACTACGGTTGTTGCTTTTATGATGCTCCAGGAAAGAGTATTATAGGCGGGGCCTGATTGTTTCATTACACGTCAATACTGGGTCAGTGCACTTTTGATGTTTATTATTCACTACGAATGGGGTCTTTCCAGGAGGTTAACAACTGTAGGAATTTCCATGAACATAGCGTTTACTTTTCTTTATCTCTTAGGCATTTGGATTTATCTGTAGGCCGATAGGTGGGCAGCACATTGCCAACTCATATGCTATCTTCATTCTCTTTGAATGGATTTCGCAACCTTGAGACAACTGAACCTGTGTCTCTTGCTTGGCTCTAGTTTTCCCTCTGTAAAGACAATAAACTTGTGCTTAAGACCATGAATGAGATGCTGAATGCAAAAATTACTAGAGCAATCTGATAATTTGTCTGGGTGCATTGGGATGGTTTCGAACGTACCGACTTAATTAGTTGCACTCAGAAACAGTGTCAGCTACTGGCCATTTTCTATATTCCCATGCTGATAAGATGCATCTCAAAGATACTTATATTTCTGCACGGCCAGGCTTTTATATCACTTTTGATTCATGATTTTCGCAAATTGTCGATTCACAAGGAAATAATCGAATTGCGATTATATGATTGATCTTTTGGTAAACGTTCACATAATTATCTACTCATTTTGCAGAATGATAACATTGATGCGATAACTATTTGACATTGAATCTGTTGCCGCATGGCATACTTCCGTCGAGGGTCCAGGTTTAACCATGCCCAGGATAAACAGGCTCGCATACACTTGAGGAGAGTTTCGGCCGACTCATAATTTCAAGTGAAAAGTTGAATTGAAGATGTTCTCATGTTGGCCTAACCTGAACCTGAAGTCAGTTTTCGTTGGGGTTTAATGTGTCGATTTGAACTTGATAATTCTCGGCGGTGCGTCACATGAGATCGGTAATCTGATTTGACGTTTTTTTCTGTCTTTTCGTGTCAGATGTTCCCATAAAAATAAACCACTATAAATCCCTAGACCCAGTTTTGCTTTTGTAAGCTCTCTTTTTTTGTGTTAACTCTGAAAGCAGAGTAAACGAAAGCTCAGCACGGATTTAACGTGGTCGGAGGAGGGTTAGCCAATGAAATCACACTCATCTTGGCATTTAGAATGTCAAATAAACCTGCTTTCAGATTCCTGTGTGGCCAGCCCACGATCCTCTTCCTCCTAAGGTTTCATCGGAAATAATATATCCAGATAGAATAAGCAATTAAGCGCTTTTTCAAAATCCACCGTTCTACCATATCTATGCTAAGCTCTAGTGTAGGAAAGCGACGATAAAAGTTGCAATCGTAGCATGGTGCTTAGGTATGATCATGATAGAGACGGAAAAGGCGTTGGCAAATAGGTTAGTGCTAAAACTAGAATGGAAACAGTCTCGTATTGGACGAAGATGACAGCGGGACAGGAGTGTATTTCCTCACACCCTCATCTTTTTTGCCATAGAAGGCTCTTTCGACGTGCAATTGTGTTTGTGTGAACAGGTGTAGGTATATGCAAGGACTGGATCACCACTACTAAGCGGAACTAGGGCCATCTTCTGACTCGTATGATTATGTTCGGCTCGATACCTGTGTTTTTCGACTCATGGATGAGTAGGAGGTACAAAGAATGCACATGAATGGAGGGGAGTTGTACCAAAATGCAATACCAGACAATTTATATTTATTTTCTCATGCAAACTTGTGTCGAAGGGATTCGTTAACTGGCCTAACCGGTTACTGAAGGAAGATTCTCCCTCAGTTGTCACTATATATTTGAGCAAAGAAGTTCTCAGCACTTCAACAAATCCAATCTGGGCTTTCATCAGTCAAGCAAACTTGTCACGAAGTGATAGACGAGAGGGGATGTCCTAAAAGATAGATGTTCACTCCATTGCTTGTGCGATTGTCACTAGAATCGGATAAAGCGATGGAACCACGAAAAGAGCTAGAACAAGTTTGCAACGACGATCGCACTGAAAGGCTTGCCATGGATCTCTTTTGTCATCCGGTATCACAGAATGCATGCTCTCTTTCTCTCTCTCCTCTATCTATCTCTCTTTCTTTGTTTGTTTCTTTCTCTCCTCTCTCTTTATCTTTCTCTCTGCCTGCCTCTACTCTCTCTCTCTCGGGCTAGATTGCACCCCTTAGTGCAGCACAGTTTGACATTGGATGCGGAGGCTGTAAGGCCCGATTAGAATCTGAGTACATCCGTTCTCTAGCCCCACTAATAGTCAGTCTTTATGACGATGAATCCAACTGGCTGAATTAGAAAGTTATCTTTGAGTGTCGATTCCATATTTTGCATATTACTTGTCTGGCCTCAATTCATCGTCTTTCAGAGTCACTCCTACTTCTGCCCATCTTCGAGAGGTATGAATGCAAGTTCTACGCCCTCTAATGGCCCTCGTTTTCTGATTTTCTTTGCAGAGTGAAGAAACGACAAGTCAGGCTCGTTTTTGCCTCTACAGCCCTCTATGTTTGCGTCATTCAGTTGGCCCTAGAATTGAGTGAGTCCACTCACAAATAGCGGCCTTGGGACGCAGAAACTTGGATTCTTGCGTCTTTTTAACCACTTCTTCCAATTCAGCTCGAGTTTGCCGTTCATAGCCCCTCCGTTTCTGGTCGGCGTGGCAACTTGATTCCTTCTTTCCTCCCCAGAAGGCATGCTACGCATGACTGCTTGTAATCAATGGCGCACTTGGATTTAATGAAAAGTTTGGAAGTAAATTTTTCCTGCTGGTTGGGCTTTTGCTGGACTGGCTCTCTGGCCAACTGGCGATCAAGGAATTTTTCCTGTAAGCCCGCTAAGCAGCAGCTCTTCTCAGCTTGAAGCCGATCTACCAGTGTCACATTCTTCGACTTGTTGACTGTACAGGACTCAGACTGCCGAATACAGTGGTTGGCTTCGTCTGTTCCCTCTTTCTGCCCACTTTTATATCTCGACGGATGCTCATTTTGGAGCAAAACTTTCGGGCGCCTCCCTCTGCCAGATTAGTTGCTGAGACAGGGCCAATCGCATATTGCAGAGACGGCTTGGGGGTATCTGACCAGATTTTCAGGGCCTTTGTTCGAATTGACGTCGAGGCCGGGCTTTTGCCTGGAGAAACCTGTTCCAAATGTTTTGTTTTGCTTTATTCTGGTAGCCTCTGTACTTCCATCTCAAGTGATTCCAAGTGGTCACGATTGCCTGATGGGGGTTCTGGCGATTCATTTCTGCCTTATCCATTCTTTAGAGCTGGAGACATTTAATTTGCTTCGACTTTTCGCTTTGCAGTCAAAGTTGATTGAAAGGAATTCGTGTGTTGGCCTCACCAAAATTTAAAGGAAGTGATTATCCTGGAATGGAGATTGCTGAATTGCGATAAGACGTGCTCGGCTCACCGTCATGTAACTGCGGTCTACCCTTGCTGCCATTTCGTTTGTAATGCCCTGGAAGAAATCGTCAGAGAGATAAACTGTAGTTTATACAAAATGCACCAATATACTAGAGTATGGAAGTTGTCTGACCTCGTCTTCGTCACTTGATCGTGTTGTCAGGACGATCTAATTGGACTCTTCTTGTCCGAATTCCTCTGCTCTAGCTGTTGTTCTAATTCCTTGGCGTTTGACCATAGACTCAGCCCGTCTTGGAATGGACCAAGTCCACGGTTCATCACCGGGAACGATCATTTATGCTATGGCAGAGGACTTCGGACAAGGTGTGCCTAACTAGGTCGCCCTGACAACACAGTCAAGTTGCAATAACGAGGTCAGACCAGTTCCATACATCCAAATGAAACTGCGACCAAACTAGATTCCACATCATCGTGGTATTCATATCTACGTTTGTACTAAAGTATGATTTATCGCTCTGACGATGTCTGCCACGACATGGTACATGAAAGCCTAGCACGGCTTCATCGGACTCACATAACAGCCATTCCACGAAGCCCTTGCAACCAACTTTTTCTTCGAAACGAAATGGCATATCTCATCAAATCACCAAGGGATTCTTCTAAGCCCCCTAACCTAATCAAAACGATAAATATAAGCAAATATAAGTTTGCTTCATCGACAATCCCACCATTGAATGTGATATGCGAGAATGCCTGGGCTTCTTTGAGATTCACATGTGCCCTGGGAACCAAGGGCATTCGGTGCAGAGCTTACACGCTGTGCTGTCATGGTTAGAGTCTCTCTGTGGGCGTTGATGAGCCCCATGCAAGGTTTAAACTGCACTTTAGTCAAGCTTGGATGAGGATACTTTTGGGGAAGCAAGGCTGTGTGAAATTCAATAAAAAAATGTAAGGTATACTCATATAATTGTGGGAAAATTCAACTACCAGTCCTTCATCACCTTAAACGAAACAGGATGAACACATCTCATATGCTGAGAAATTTCGCCTAATTGGGCGAACTCTCCGGTTTTCGTCAGTCGTTCAGCCACTTTGTCGGCTACTCGTGTCGGACGTATCTAGACCCACTTTATTTTTTTTTCATGTAGTTGAAGAAAGATGAGGACCGACGGATTGTACGAACAAGTTCTCATTTTACTGTCCGGCCAGTCCGATGATTCTGTTCATGCCACGGTACCTTATATTTTTCTGCTTCTCTCTTTGTGTCCCTGTCCGTC